TTGAGACGAAGTTTCACTCTTGTTGCTCAGGCTGGAGTTCAATGAATGGCACAATCTCAGCTCACCGCAACCTCCGCCTCCCAGGTTCAAGCGATTATCCTGCCTCAGCCTCCTGAGTAGCTAGGATTACAGGCATGCGCCACCACACCCAGCTAATTTTTCTATTTTTAATAGAGACAGGGTTTCACCGTATTATTCAGGCTGGTCTCGAACTTCTGACCTTGTGATCCGGCCTCCCAAAGTGCTGGGATTACAGGCGTGAGCCATCATGCCCAGCCTGGAAAAAACTTATGTATATATATAGTGTAATAGGTAGGTCTCAAACTGACAGTATGCTACATTTTGGATCTGGAGATTAAAGTTGCAATGATGAAAATGGAATTTAATAGTTTTCCCAGGAATAATACATAGCCAAATTTCATATATGTAAGGCATCTATGTAAAAGGACTTTGCTTGAGTCGGTGAAGTGAGTGATTCTAGCAATAGGGATAGGACAGAGGTAGTCATCTTTCCTTTGAGTAGTAGACCCAGGAATATCCAGAAATAGATGGTGTGTGCAGAACAGGTTGTACAGGCACTGTTGTAAACACTGCTAAGTAATACCCTGAGTGAAAGTCTACCTTTGGCTATAATAAAATGGTGTTGCTGACTTTTGTTGCTTCTGTTTTATTTTTTAGGATGTAGAACAAAAGAAGAGTGGAAACTACTTTTTCTTGGATGATTAGACTGAATCTGAGAATACTGATAAGCCGCTAATTAAAAGGAATATTTACTAGAATTTTTGTCATATAAAACTTGAATCAGGATTTTATGCCCCACATATGCTGGAGCTTGAAGTATAATTCACTTAATATAACATCAAAAGCCAGTTGCATTCTAAATTGTAATTGAAACACAGAAAACACCACTTTTCTGTTCATGATGAGGCCCTTTTGTGCATAATATTCTAAAATGAAGACATTTCAGGCTATACAAATTACCTCCAAGTTTTCATGATGTGTGGGAAGATTTTCAGTAGGTATTTCATATTCACGTACCAAACACTGACCAGTGTTGCTCCATTTTTTAAATCTTAAAAAGGGTTTCTGTACTTACCTGGTTTGCCAGATATGCCAGTGTAATGAAACTGCCCTTATTTTAAAAGCCAGTCAAAGATTCCACTGATTGACATTTGATAAATAAACATCAGGATTATGTTTATTATTTTTCAGTCTTTGCACCATATTATCAGTATATGGTTTCTGAGGAAGTTTATCTACTACAAAACACCACTGTTGGAAAAATATGTATTTTTTAATTGTTTTTAATCTTTTTTGGTGCTTTTGAACATGTTTAGCAAAAACCAATTCAGTTCCCTTCCCCCCAAAAAAAAGTTACTCTGAATTTTTTAGTTTTTGCATTCCATAATGTTCTGTGTTCATTCTCTAGGTAATGTCATTTTTTTTACACATATATAATCATCACTGATCAAGATTTAGGAAAAATCATTTCTAAAGAATATTTGCATCCCTTACAACTACAGACTCAAAGTCTTTAAAGATGGTGCCTAAGCATCTATGTATTTTTTTTTTTAAGTTCCACGGATTTTTCTGGTGGGCAACCAAGGATTATAAACCACTTCCCTAAAGGCAGCATTAATGCAAAAGTCCCCAGATAGCAATACAAAGTATCCCTCAGTACCACATATACTCATTTCTGAGTTTGGATATAGAGCACATTATCTAAACCTTTTTCTAGTTCCAAAAAGCCATCCAAATTTCTTGAGTTCCTGCATTTCGAACAGGATTACCTATAGCCTGGAGCCACTTCTAAGTTGTACTTCTGACTAAACTGGAATTAACTTATGAGGAAGAGGATTTACTAAATAAATGAGTGGGGCAAGCAAAATTGAGGGGGAAATTAGGAAGTATTTGACAGACTTTAAGAACTACTTAAAATAATAGAAGTCTTGATTAACATGCAAACAGTGGCCACAAAGTATGGTTTAATTGGACCCCATTATGCCTTTTAAAAAATAATTTATGTAAGTAATCTATCAGTACATGTTGAAAAAAATTCAGATATGCAGAATGGAATAAAAAATGAACTCCCTTAATTACCCTCCCAAAGGTTACCAGCGTTTGAATTTAATAATGTATATTCTTTCATTCTTTTTTCTGTGCACTTACCTAAGTGTGAATATGTAAAGGGTTTGTTTTGTACACAAATGGGATTATACTAAAATAAGTAATGCCTATTTTTAAGGATAGGTTAAATTTATGAATGATTATTTCAGATATATTGAATAAAATAAGTAAAAGTTATTGTTATTTACTGATCCCGGATTGTCTTAAAGTACTTGTTATGATATAATAAGAGCACAGTTCTACTTACTGCTAATGACAGAATATGTATTAAAAGAATTTTTCATGTAAATGAAATCTTTAAAATATGGATCTTAAAATTTTACATGGCAATAGAAAAGCCTACAATTGCTAATACAAGAACAATGTTTATAAAATCAGTATTATATACAGTAGGAATGCATATGTTAGCACAAAGAGACTAGTTGATAATGTCCTGATTGGGAAAATCTCAAATACTTAAAAAAAAAATTGTAACAGTTTATGTAGTACGATTTTTGTGAAAATGTACAAAATATTGAAATATACAAAGGGATACTCAAGAAACATTGCTTTTGACAAGGACAATTTGATTAAAGAATGGGGGAAAGGAGACATTTATATACATAGACATACATATATAATACCCTTTGAATTTTACATTTTGCATGTGATCAAAAATCATTGTTTTTTTTTGTTTGCTTGTTTGTTTTGAGACAGTGTCTCCCTCTGTTGCCCAGGCTGTAGTGCAGGGGTGCGATCTCCACTCACTGCAACCTCCGCCTCCTGGGTTCAAGCAATTCTCCTGCCTCAGCCTCCTGAGTAGCTAGGATTACAGGCACTCGCCACCACACCCAGCTAATGTTTGTACTTTTAGTAGAGACAAGGTTTCACCATGTTGGCCAGGCTGATCTCAGGTGATCCACCTGCCTCAGCCTCCCAAAGTGCTGGGATTACAGGCCACTGCGCCTGGCCATTTAAGTTTTTAAATTGTCATTAGATGATTTATATTTACTGTGTTCACCTAGTATAGAACAGGCTTAAAAGCACTATATTGATGGTACAATCATTTTCTGCAATTTAGGTTAACCTAAATTTAGACTACAAGCATTTTAAAGTCCAGTCTTTTATCTGTCTTGTCACTCAGTGTATATAGCATGGTGTCTGGCATGTAATGGCCTACATGCCACAGAGAAAGTAGGAAGACTACAAAACTGCAGTGTTGTATGATTTCATTCATGTTCATCAATATAGTAGTTGGATACAGGTATGTCAAGCCCTTAACCCAGTGTCTAGTCTGCTGTGAGCACTGAGTGGCTCAGAAGAGAAAGTAATCATTCTGGATTGGAATGTCAGAAAGGACTACATAAAGGAATTAGGTCACAGGAAAGAGTAACAGCACCTGTCTTACCGAGTTGTTAAACGGACAGATAAGTGAGATAAACCATGTAAAGCAGAATACATGTCTGGTCAGAGGCAAAAAGAAACATGGGTTTTTAAGAGATTAGTGGAAGGAAATAATGAATAAAGGCAGACTGTGATGAGCTTTCTGTGCCTTCCAGATTGGTTAGTTTTTTACATGCTGAAAGTAGGAATTGAAGAGAAAGCAAGGCCAGTTAGAGAAGCGAAGTACCAAGATAGTACTTGTTCAGGAGCTTCTACTTCTTTATCCCTTTAACTTTTTGAAACATTTCTAGTCCATCCACTTAATACATGAAGGTCTAAACTTAGCTGTATCCTGTGCTGACAGTTGCTCTTGGAAGATGGTTTCCTTTGTAGTGTTTCAGTTTGTGAGCAGATGTGTGATGAGGCTGTATCTAAAAATTCTGAGATTTTGTGTGGCAAATACCATTTCTCCTCAGCCCTTTGCTCACTACCACCACCTCCTCTGCCAATTTATTAGGGTAGACAGTGTGCCCAGTCCTAGGTGGTTGGTCATAATTGGGCTAAGACATAGAAAATCCTCTTCCATACTTTCCTAGTGTCTCTTGCAGTTATGTTCAATTTACTGGCTAGAGAGTTCTAGCCAGTAAATTGAAACCTCTTGAGGTTTTTCTAGAAAATAAACCTATTGCTTTCCTAATAAGGAAGATGATTATCTGGTACTGCTTCTTGAGGATGTAATAATATGACGCAACTATTTTGTGCCCATAAGGTGATACAAAGGAAATGCAAAACAAGCTACAAGAATGTTACTCCTGACATCAATCACTGCAAAACTGCCAGCAGCCACTTCTCTCCACCTTTCTTGAGAAATACATCCCTATTTTGTTTAAACCTGGTTAAGTCAAACTGGTTTCCTGTTTGCCATCAAGAAACCTCCCTGGCTGAGGTCTTTTTCCTCAGAGGCTTTCTTTCCATTTGCCTTCTGCCATGGGAGCCAAGTGTGTTAACAGCTTGGAACCACTTTTCAGTTTTCCTAGTTTGTGGATTCCTGGACCTCAAACCTAAATGAATGTGGTAACATTTTCAGTGGTTTTGTTTTTTGCCTTTAAGGAACTGGAACCCAGGCCAAGACAGGTTTGTCTGTGGGAATTTTTAATTTCACCCCTTTCGCTGGGGTGACCCTGGCTTTAATGCAAATGTTAGCTCCCAACTTTGCATGTGCCTAAATATAGGTCTCCCATGTCAATGGTCACTTTATGTCTGTGCTTCTGGTTTCCTGTCTGCATTTTTAAAACTACCTTATAAAACTATAAAGGACTTAAATGTTTTTACTACTAGTTCGGAAAAGTAAATTACAGGAAAGATCCAACAAGTATATCCCTAGATAGGTACATTGCAGTAGTTTTCTGTTTCATCTGAAAAGCATTAGTCTAAAGCCAAGGTTCTCATTTTTTAAAAAAGAAATAGGCTTACTACACAGAATTTTGTTACCAGTTAGCCTGCCAATTCAGTTAAGAATATTCAAAGGGATAGAAGGCCTTAAGAACCATACTCGTCATCTACATACACATCTTTAATAAGATTTTTTACTGTGAAAAATAAAATTACAGGAATGTTACATATTTTAAAAGGGCTGCCTCTAAAGCCCGTTTCTCTAATGAATTATTATAGAAAAATCAATTTCAAAAACTGTTTATACCAGTGTCTGTAGCTTCTCTTAGAAAACTCAACCCTATTATTCTGAGGGGTCCATGTTTCATGAAGAACTCACAGATTAAGTTAGAGTGCAAAAGTTTACGCAGGTAAGCTGTTTTTAACTTCTGGTTTTGTATTTACATTCTCATACTATGCCCTAGACCCAGACCTAAGTCTGTGAAAGGTAAGTAAAATTATAATTATTCAAAGTGAAAAGCAAGCTCTTTGTGGAGACCACTGACTTAACTTGGGTCACTCCCATACATTTCTGGAATGACCAATTTTGCAAGAACCCTCCCCCACCCACCCAACACACCTCTTACTAACCAGCTCCCACACTGGCTTCTCTCTGACTCCATGGATAAACCCACAGAACTAATTGTTTCCCCTTTTTCTCCTTCCTTTCTTCCTTCCCCACAGGTTCTGTGATATTTTAGTCAACTCCTAAAGCAGTCTCAAAAGATCCACATGTCAACTCTCATTATCTTTAATAATGGCTCATCCTCCTTCCCAGCTTTCTGACCCTGTTCCTTGATCACTCACTTTTCTGTCCAATACTTGAATTGAGAGAGGCTTGTTTCAGGTTCGGCCAGATTTACCAGAAAGTTCATATTTTATGTAAACAAGTATTGATTGGACAATATTCTTTGGTAATTTTATAAAGAAAAACAGGCTTTAAAAAATTGAGTTTTCAGAGTATTTAAGTATACTTGGTTTTCAAAACTCAATTTACCTTTCTTTAGCCAACATTACTGAATGCTAAATGTAAAAAAAAAAAAAAAAAAAAAAAAAAAAAAAAAAAAAAAAAAAACATTTAAAAACAGTTCAATCCATAAATTATTCTTAGATATTCTGCACATTCCCATTTAGTCACTGCAGAAAAAAAAAAATGGTGGCACTAGCTATAAAGTCACTTAAAACTAGACTCAAATATGAGTCCTACCACTTACTGGTTGCATGACCCCAAGCAAGTAATTTGGCCTCAGTTTCATCATATAAAGTAGGGAAAATTACAATACCCATAGATTATGAATTCTACATGGTTTTTAGTTGCACGTACTGGAATTGTCTTCTAGCTGGAAAAACATCATGGAAATCATTTCTCATTTTAAGGAGTTTACAAAAATTCTTAAGATTTATATGCTATATTACCTGGTTAACCCTGGAACCAAATAATTCACAAGCAGAATCAAGAAACAAAATTTAATATATGCACACAGTTTTATATATAATGCAGCATCACACCATGTAGGGCATTTACTCTTATTTTATACATTCAGATATGTTTGAAACACTTCTTAAGGCTACAAAACAGAACATAGAAAAATAAACAGGAATATATTCAACACTTACAAAAAGTGATATGATAAAGAATATAAAGTACTAGTTTCCTTTCAACACTTCAAAAGATAGGCATATATATAATTTTTTTTTTACAAGTAACATCACAAATGATCACATCTTCACATGCTCTTAAGTATTATTTGTACTCAGTGTAAGGCTATTATCATTTTTCATACATAAAATTTTCTAGCTCTGTAACACAATGCAATTTTTAATCCATTCAAGTAAGTTCAACCCCAAAGTTGCTGCTTCCCAGCATTAAGACATGCACCCACCCCTCTTCTAAGATTTTCTAAAACTTGCATTTCAGGGGGAAAGACCTCCTTTAAAAAATAATCCCAATTAGTGGGAGAGTAAATGGCTGACACTAGTAGCAAAACCTTAGTTCTTTGAAATTAACATAGTGGAAATGAGCCATTATTAGGATTTTAAACAAAAACAATAGCATTTAGACATAGGAAGCAAAATACAGTAAACAAATAGTGTAGCCAAATATGCATTCTCTTCAGCTACACTAGAGTGGACCTTGCTTAGTACCCTTAAGTGAAAGTCAAAACATTTACCTCATCTAAAAATGAAGGTAAAAGAAAAGAGGCAAAAATAAATATTGCTAGTTTCTAGGATGGCTGAATGTTTTCTAAACCAGAAATGGTTAGAAAGGAACTTTATTGCACCAAGTCTATCATAAGCAAGTTTGCAGTTCACAGGCATTTTAATTCAACCTTGAGTCACAAAGGAAACAACACACTGCAAAAATACAGTCTGCATTAAATAAGTTATATCGGCATTGTGGTCTGGGAAAACCTACTCTTGCCAGGTCAAGGCAGGGCCTCAGCTTAGGTCTGCCATGAAAATGAACTTGTGGGTTATCAGTAAACAGTATGAGGACTACACAGATGCCAGCATCCTGCTGCCAAGGAGGGCGTGGGGGAAGAGTTGAAGATTTATCTGAGAGGAAATGAACTTGAAGAGACACAGAACATCAAAAGGAAAAGGGGGCTGGAATCAAGTTCAGCCAAAGCACCTAACACAAAAAACAGGTGAGCTTTGGTCAGTCTGTTCTTCAAAATATGTATGATCATAATATGGTGAAGTTTGATAATTTCCAACTCAAAAACACAAATGATCCTCAGTTCTATATTTTTGCTTCTATTCTCATAAAGAAATATGTCAACACAGAGCATGACAAACAGTTAAGATGAAGAACAAAAGCTTGCTTAGCCTTAGTTTGACCTCAGCATAAGGCAAAATCCCTTGGACTAGTACATTTAAAATGAAACATAAAGGAAAAAAGTAAAACCAACCTTCTTACCAAGATTACTTTTAAAACTATCAAAAGTCTTTATTCCAGAGGTCATTGAGAAAAGTACCATCTGCTAAAATTACCATTCAAGCACTGTTTCCATCATATCCTAGAGGTGAGAAATATGGGAAACAGAAAGCAAATCTGTGTTTCCTTCAGGAGCTATTATGTTACTCAATTAAGGTAAAACAAAGTGACAATGAAGACATGAATAGTATTTCCTTCCAATTTTTAAACATTTTCAGAAGCTGAGATCAAACCCCAGTCAATAAAATGCAGGACACTAGAATCAACAACTTATTTTGGACTCCTGAGATCAAACATACTGAACTTTCAAATCTGGTGTTTGTATCAAAATGTGGTTTTCATTAAAATTATCAGGTAAGTTAGTCCTACCAAAAAAAAAAAAAAAGGATGAGCTGAAAGAGGAGGACCTGCTAATCTCTTTCCTTATCTCGGCCTCTGATGTTAAGAAAAAAAAAATGGCTTAAAGCAGTACCTTCAACTGTTCTAGCTTGAAAGGTGACAACAAATTCCTTTCAATAGGTTCTCTCAAAAAAATTTTCTACACAACCATCCCAGTCTTTACAATTTGTTACCTAGCACCATCATAATAAAATGTTATCTTTCAAAGTGCTCTCTAAAATCCTGTTACATTATTATCTAAATGCTAATCACTACTCAAATCAGCAGTTACACAGACGTTAGGTAATTAAAACAGCACAGAGGTAAATAACCATTATTACAGTACAGTGGAGATTCACAGAGCCCAGCTGGCATCTAAACATTCCCATAGGTTATCAGAGAACCCAGAAAACTCATCTGTTTCAGTTTGTCAAATTCAAGTGAATTGTATTTTCTTAAGTAATTTGCTTTACAAAAAAAGAAAGTCACCGCATCTGTTTTTGGCTAGGTATATTACACATGGCATGCAAAGAGAAATTACTACTATGTTATTTGCATAGCACTCAAACTTCCTGATCAGAAGATAATCTCAACATAATAAAAGGGTAGATTTTCACATTGGTATGTACAAATAAGAAATACAAGCTACAGTTATTTTTACAAAATAACACAGATGAATGAATACTGTGTTAATTCAGAGAGTCCAATCTCCAAATGAGAACAGAGTGCAACATGCAAAGGGAACTTCTAGTGAATACTGCAAAGACTGGAAGAAAGCAGGATGGAAGATGTTACCTACCTAAGGGTAACAAGCTATAAAACACAAAGCAAAACCATTTTCTAGCAGCATCCTCTAGAAAAGAACTAGAAGTCACAATCATATTATCTTCTATACAACAGTTCCAGCCCTGACAAGTAGAACATGCAAGTGTCAAGTGAAAGTGATAAACAACCAATGGTGCAAGGAGAAAACAAAACACAGTAACTCTAGAAACCTATCAAGCTAAAAATTTTTAACATTTCTTCTCACAAAATATTTAGAATCTGTCAGTGCATTAGTGTTAAAGTGGCATTAAAAAAACGTCTGCAGTTCTAACTGATGCAGATTATTTTCAAAATGCATAGCATCTACATTTCTTTCGAGTAGGCACCATGATATTTACACCAGTGCTAAGAATTCTTGGTGGAAACAGCCATTTCATTGGATTTCCTACTATTCTTCTATGCAATCTCAACAAATACCAAAATTCAAAAATATACCTTATGAATATTAAAAGAACTATATACAACATTGCTAAGACACAGTTAATAGGCTGCCTTATGTGAATATTAAAGAGAGGACATTATTCAAGTTTGACAGATATTGAGATGAAAGGCCTTTGGGTTGGAAGCATTTTAAGAGACAACAGTGTTTTAGGCTGAGAATTGTTTGAGCCCAGTTTATGACTAAGGCATTGCATAATAAAATATACATTTCTATTTGGTGCAACATTATGTTTGGAATCTATAGTGTGTCAAATGGTATATTTTCTTGTCACTCCAGTAAACACTATAAAGGACACATTTCCAACATTTGAAATCAAACTTATATAAGGAAAAAAGCCAAACACTAAATCTATAATGTTTTATATTAAGCTGTTTATAAAAAATACTTTAACAAACTTATCTTCTACTTTTTATGGGGACAGTCACTTGATAAATAAACAGATTCTGAATGAAGAAAACTGGCAATGCCAGGAATTCACCTGCCCCCTTGAACTCATGTCCAAAATGTCTTGTACAGTATAGAAGTGAAGGGAAGGGGACTGGGGAGGGGAAAGAGTTCCAACTGGGGTTTTTATTTTATTGTATTTTTTTAAAGCCTTCAGAAACATTCCACCTAAGAGCTTCTGTTAGAAAATACTTCAGCAACAACCATCAAGTGTGCTGCCCCCTATGGCCATCTCCCATCCCTGATCTCCTCCTATCTCCCCTATATGGTCGTCCTCTGGCATTTCGATGGTATTGATAACCTTCATCCCGGCTTCTGCTTGGCTGTCCTTTCCAGGACTCCTCACCTCTCACATGTTGATATCCGCCCCTACCAGAATAGCTCCAATCACTTTTGTACTTCCTGCTTCCATAAGTTTGATTATAGAACTGCTTGGATCTACCACTTCTCAAAATATTAGACACTTCATTTTCATCTTCTGAACTCTCTTCTTTTGGTCTTTGCACTCTGCTATCCACAGAGTTGGCCCCCGGGCTGACCACATCAGCAGCAGTCTTAGGATCTTTTACTTTTTCTGTTTTTTCTTTCAGACTTTGAATGGTCCTTTTTGGTTCAAGTTCAGCAGGCACAGTTTCTCTCTCTCTGTTTAGAATTTGAGTGGGAGGATGAGCCTTTCCCTCTGCTACAGGAGGGATGGAAGCCAATGCCATCTCTGCCTTTCGTGTCTGGGATGACTGCTCTGTCCGGCCTTCATCCAGCTTACTGCTCACACTTGCTTCAGGGAGAGAATGTACGTGTTCGCCTCTGGCTTCTGGAAATTCATCTACGGCTGAAACTGAACCACATTCTTTAGAAAGATCCAGATTTTCCAGAGACAGATCTAATTCTTTCTCATCAGAGGGCAGGACAATATTCTGCCTCATTACTGGGTTTTCTATGAATCCCTGAAAAGGGTACCCATACCAAACATGAGGGAAGAAAGGAGGTGCAATAGGAACTGGGCCTAAGAATGGACTGGGTCCAAAAGATGGTTGGGGGAACATATTCTTGCCACTTAGTGACTCTTCATAATCAGCATGAAGAAGCTGCCCAGGGGTCTCAGATTCAAGATCAGCCTGGTAAGACAACTGTCCATGACTTTCAGACACCTGAGATGGAGAGATAACCAGAGGTGAAGAAAATGTTGGCGGTCCAATCTCTGGCTGTGGCATTTGACCATTAACGCTGGCCTCAGTCTGTATAGGAAAGTGGGCATCAGTACAGGTACAATCACTTTCATTCTGAGTAGCAGGAGCCTCTTGGAACCAGGGATTATGAGGATAAACAGGGACAGGGACTTTTGGGTACATCCTGCAGGCTGCCAGGTAGGCCTGGTGCAGAGGGTACAGGTAAGAATGTGGGGCCCACATAGGACAGCTGTATGCCTAAAGAGACACAGAATAGTTAAATAAACAAAAGAGGAGAAAAAAAGGTTCAGGTGGTTATCAATCTAAAACTACTAGGCTCAAGAAAAGTTTCTCATGCCGACAAAGACCATATATAGTCCAAATACTAAATCACTGTAGTAACCAACATGAAAATCAATTACAAAATTCACTGCTTTAAGACTCCATTGCTTGCTCCTGTCCTAAAACCAATCTGAAGTCCTGATAGGTTGAGAGGAGATAGTATCTCTGCATCACTGGCTGTTTAGCTAGACCTGCATTCACATTCTGGCTCTACCACTAACTCAGTGTGTGACCGCAGGCAGGCCAGTTAACATCTGAACTTGTTCTTCTGGGAAAATGCCAGTATAGGAGTAGATGATATCCAATGTTAGGAATCCACAATTCTAGAAGCCCACAGAATACTGCAAATGCAAGGATTAAGTTAGACTTCCAATCAGAGAGGAATAATGTTGAAAATTATTCCAAATCCTTCCTCCACAAGAGTTCAAAACCAAAATATGGGCTAGGTACAGTGGCTCACGCCTGTAATCCCAGCACTTTGGGAGGCCGAGGCAGGGGGATCACCTGAGGTGAGGAGTTCGAGATCAGCCTGACCAACATGGAGAAACCCTGTCTCTACTAAAAACATAAAATTGGCTGGGTGTGGTGGCACATGCCTGTAATCCCCGCTAGTTGGGAGGCTGAGGCAGGAGAATTGCTTGAACCCAGGAGGTGGAAACTGCAGTGAGCCAAGATTGCACCATTGCACTCCAGCCCAGGCAACGAGAGCAAAACTCCATCTCAAAACAAAAACAAAAACAAAAACAAAACAAAGGCCAGACATCATGGTGGCTCACACCTGTAATCCCAGCACTTTGGTAGGCTGAGACAGGTGGATCAATTGAGATCAGGAGTTTCAGACCAGCCTGGTCAACATGGTAAAACCTTGTCTCTACTAAAAAAAA